GTGATTCGGTGGCGGCACGTCTTCATCTCCATCTAGCTCTGCCAGAACAGCACCCCAGTATTCAAAAGCATCGTCCGCCCCCAACTCACTTCCTGTTTCGTCGTCTGACTCGTCTTCAGTATCGACTTGGTTGCATTCAAAGCGCTCGTCTTGGCGTCGAGGGTGCTCGGTTGGGTTGATCAGCTTTTTAATACGCTGGGATTTCAAGTTGCTATCAAGCTGATCCGACTCACGAACCTTCTTCCGAACAGCGGCGATTTTGCGAGCCTTCTCCACCGACATTTGTTTCGTTTTGCTGTGTGAATCAGCGCTAACTCACTTAAGTAGCGCTCGCATGTTGCTGTGTTGACCACAATAGACAGCACTTGCATCGGAAGTATCGGCAACTTGCTAAAAGGCATGTCATCGCGCATGAAATCCCAGAACGAACTGACGATACTGAACCCTCCCTGTGGTGGAAGTGCTAGCTTTCCTTTCAGCCACTTGTAAATATCCTCTCCTAAGTTGCCGGGGTCGGCGCGCCATGAATCGCCGATAATAGTAAACGCCGATGCGGCACAGGGAGCCTATCGCTGTCAGCGGGGTCTTGTTTAACAGCTTTTGAGCGGCATTGGTGTGTAAAGGATGTAAAAATAGAGCGAGCAACATGAGCGGCTGCTCACACTGTTTCCATCGTTGCTCCACTTGCTTGATAAGGTTGCGCGTGCCAAACGGACGCACCGAAAATCCTTTGATTATATCCATGTAGCACACAACAACATCCGCGAGCGAGTTCTCGTCGCGCTGCAACTTCAAAGAGGCAAATGCAAGCGGACGCACCACCTCTTCAGCGTCTTTAAGCCGTTCCCAAAATGATCCTCTGCTAAAAACGCGTGCAGCATCAGGAAAATCATCGCCAGCTCGAAACTTAAACTCTAGTAACTCAAGCGCACTTTGAACGCGCAACAACGATGCAAAACATCCATGCATGCTGTTCCAACGGGTTTCACATAATTGTTTCAGATTCAGGAAATATCCATAAGTATCCACCATGCACGTCCTTGCTTCGACTAACCACTTTGCGGAAGACGCATTCAGAGCATTGACCGCGTCTGATGCTTGCTTGGTGACCTCAGAAAATCTGACTTTAGAACTGCCTTGACTAAATTGTTTAGATCATGAGCAAAACCGATCTGAAATGAGATATGCGGCCACCGTAGACTTAAAATTCGTCGTGCCCGCGCGCATTGTCCGGCATTATCGGTAACAACGCCACCAATTGTCCAACCATCACTCTGCATCTTTTCCATCACACATTCCATTTGTTCCGCAATTGCGATAGCGTCATGCCTGGGTCCCGTAGGAAGCAAAGCGTATGTCATACCACAACCAAAAAGAACCAATTGGCAACCAAGCAAGTGAGCGCGAGAAATGTTCTGCCAAACATCACTTAAGAAATTCACGCGCACCTTCATTGGCATATTGTACATTACGAAGTGCCGTGCTATCTTGGCTCTCGCAGTCGAAAGCGTACGCGTCTAGAATGCATCCATTAAGCTTCTTGCGGGTTGGT